TCTCTCTCTCTCTCTCTCTCTCTCTCTCTCTCTTTCTCTCTCTCCTGCCCCTCGTGTGTGTACAAACACTAATTAAAATTATTATTGTGCTGTAAGGCCAAGGCTATACAACATATTTTTGAACACTGTTGTTTTCTAGATAGAGCTTAAAATAGATATCAGTATGAAACAAGATAGAAGGCACAGAAAACTAATCCTGGGATGTAAAGTCTTGAACATGTTTTGCTGGGACTAAGAAAGCATCCACACATCATATACTTCACCTGGAAATTTAGTGTTGAAAGGACAGGTTGGAACTGTAGTCGCCTCTGTCACATGAAGTCATAGAATAGTGGCACCCCTCCCCCCAATACTGTTACTGTCTAAATACATTGTTTTAAAAGAGTGTGATAAGAACAACTTGATTTCACGGTTTTTGTGTTTTGAGACGGAGACTCACCGCATAGCCAAGCTGGCCTGGACCTTGTGATCCTCCTGCCTTATACTTCTGTACTACCATGCCAGACTTGATTTCAGATATTGAAGGATAGCATCTTTGAGATTTAATTTGTTTAGGCAGCTGAGGAGTCTTTGCTATGTTGATATGAACTATGAATCCAGGAGAAAGAGAATGGGATGCATTTGTATGCATGATTGCACATGCCTGACCCAGGGGAAGCTGCACTATGTTTCAGGAACAAAAGAGGTCATCATCTCTGTGACTTGTGCAGTGATGCTCCACATCCAATACAGGCTGGTTCCCAAACTGACAGGCTTCCTTCACTGTGTCTCTGACTGTGATCATCCTTTCAGTGGGAAGGGAAAGGAGCTTCCCACTGGGGTGTGATTTATGGCCAAACCAAGTCCTACAATAATGTCAAGTCACAGAGGACTATGGCTACACAGAACAGCCAGAAGTCGCTGAGGGATGCTGCTGTTCCCTGGGACAGAGCAGTGATGTAGAGGTAGAGGTGGGTGCAGAAGTTTCAGTCTTTGATGCCCCAGTGGGTGTTTTCTTTTTAAAAGTCTATTGTCAGTATTATAGAGGCAGTGGCTAAAGCAGGTGACCTCAGGGCTAGCCACTGTTTTGTTCCTTCTTTTATCTCTTTAATACATGGCTACTGTTCTGTCATATGTCAAGCATATTTATTTTATTGATTTTGATGGTTTAATCTTTGATGTTTCTTTTTAAAGCCTATTTGTAAAAATTTCAAATTTTATAATAGTTGCATTTAAATATAACCCTTTTAAAAATTTTATTACTCAACTGCAACTTGTGTGTGTGTTCATATTAAAATCTATTATCTTTGAACTTACCTTAGGGCATGCACCTGATCTATTTTCTTTACTACATTATCCAGATGCATTCTGACTAAATATTTGACAACCAGGGAGTACAATGTACTGGCTGATTTTTTTCAATATTTATAAAATATTTTTAATTTAAAACTAACTTATAAACATTTAACGTCTTAAAGTTTTTATCTACATCACATAGAGAATTTCCCTGTCCTTTTTTTGTTTTAGCTTTTTAAAAAATTTAATAACCACATGATTAGAAGAAGCATTTCATTACAGTTTTAACATATTCACTAACAATTTCCAGAGCAAACATACATCTCTTTCAAAAATGGTTGTAAATTTTTAGGTTCACAGTTGAATTAATGCAGTTATCCTTTTGTTTTAAACTATAAGTCAAATGGCTTTGGTATCTCTTATTCAGGTGACTCACAAGACCTGTGTATAATAAAGGAAATTGTTCTAGGGGAGGACCTCAGATAATAAAGCATGGGAGGTCGTTGAGTGCAATTACATTTTTTTTCTGGAGTTGGGGAACATAGCGCTGTGATTGAGTGCTTGCTTAGCATGCATGAGGCTTTGGGTTCCATCTTCAGTACCCCAAAGAAACAAACAATCAGGAAGGCACTCACATAAGTAGAAAAGGATGGATGATTTTTTCATTATCCATTTGGGTCCACTATGCTTTTTTGTCTTTGCTTTAGTCTGTATTTTGTTACTATAACAGAATGTCCAAAGCTGGGTATTGCTAAGGTAGGAAGTTTACTTTGACCCAGAGTTTTGGAGATTTGGAAGTCCAGGAACATGATGCTGTGTCTGCTCAGTTTCTGGTGAGGGTCCTGGGCTGCTTCAACTCCTGGTGGACAGCAGAGAGGTGCTGGAGCACCTGGGAAAGACAGAGCACGAGAGCAGGTCTTTTGTGACCCAAATACTTCCTAAAAACACCCTTCCATTGGGAACTGAATTTCAAAATGAGCTTTAGGGGACAAACCATATTCAAAGCATAGCAGCCTTCTTCACTTTTGGTGTATGGTTTGCCTTGTCACATGGTTCTGTTTGATTTTTTTCTGAGAACCGGGTGAGCACAGGAAGAATCGTACTTGTTTGTGTAGCCTCCCACCTCTCCCTTCCCTTGCAGGCTTCACATAACATCTTGTACATAGTAGCTATTGATAAAGAGTTGTTAAGCACATTTGATTTCCACTGGCAACAGGGATTGAATTTTTGAGATGATATAGTGTTAAGAACAAAGCTACAATTGTTTAACAGGGAAGGATATTATAGAACTAAGTCTGAGGAAAGATGAAACCAGAGATACTATGTTTATGGTTTGGTATATAGAAAGTTCTAGTATGTCTAAGTAGCCTTGACTTGTTTCAGGAAAGTGATTTGTTTCATTTTACTTGTATAAAATTAATGTTCCTGATTTTTTTTAAAAGCTTTATGACATAATGAAGCCTCTATCAATCACTTTTACTTTTTTCTTAATAACTTTAGTGTCTTCTTTCAGGAGCACAGTGAAGTAAATTCTTCTGGGACCCAATCCAATGTTTCTGCCTTGAAGAAACCTAATTAGCTGACATTTTCAAAGCTACTTTATAGTTCTGTTCTGACTCTGGGCAAAGGACGTCTCTTGATTTATATTTATGAAAAGTCTACTTTCAGAATCTGGGTGTGTTTTATGGTAGCTCTTTCAGTTGGCTTTTCATTTTTATTCGATAAATTATCTACAGCAGCTGTAGAGATGTCATCAGAAGCTTGGCTTTTACCTCAGGATTCTTGGGAGGCTGACTGAAACCCAGGAGAGCAGTCCACAGTGAATGGGAAGAGTCAGCTTATACAAGGAAAAGGTAATAGCTTGACAAGCAGTCACTCTCCCTCCTCAGGCTCCCAGGGGCAGATGATAGCTTTTCTTAATTCATTTACCCATTATTAGAGAAACTAAAGGTTTACTATTAGTGGGGAAAATCATTGAAATGTTAATGGTTTTGTTTTGTGGCATCGAGTCCCTAAAGCCTCAAATGAAGAGTCCAACAGTTGATTGTAGTGTCACCTTCTAGAGACACTGACAATATTTTTGTTATGAATGATTGGATCGCCAGACCTTCCTTTGTTGTGCATGGTGATGCTTCAAGCAAACTAACTTGCTTATATATTAATTATAAAGATTCCAACAAGGAGATGAGTTAGGTTTCAATGAAAAGCTTTCTCCCAGAGTTAGCATTCTTTAGAAAATGTGATTGAAAAGTTGGTAATATTTGCTCAGAAGCTAGGTGCATTCTCCAGTTTGAAAGCATGGCTGTGTGTGATCTCTATGTGTCTGGGCTATTGTGGCTGTCATTTCTGGTTCCTTAAGGATCTCAAATATTAATTCAGACTCATGTATCTGGTGGCTTCAGCCCCTCAGGGAGCCCAGCTCTATTTTCATGATAATTTGTTTCCTTCCAACTTCCCAATTATTATTATTATTATTATTATTATTATATTTATTTCCATTTTAAAGTTTTAATTTTAGTTTTCTTTATGTATGAATGTATTTTATTTTGCTCAAACCTTACACCTCCCTCTCTCCAACTCCTCCCAAATCTCTCCCATCCCCCTTCCCACTGCATGTCCATCTATATACGTGACTTTCAGTGTCTATTGTTGCCCATGTACCTGTGGTGTAAGGCTGTCCACTGACAACCTATCGGGGCCCCACCCTTGCAGAAAGCTAACTTTCTCTCCTCCAACCATCCACTGACTGCTTCTTGGTAGTACTAGGGCCTTGTGAGCACCCCATTCATGCTGGAGTAGTGACTAGATAGAGCTTGTTCAGGTCTTGTGTAGGCAACCACAGCTGTTGAGAGTTCATAAGCTCAACTGCCTGTTATATCCCAGAAGACACTTAATTTGCAGCTGTTGTCATTGACCACTGTCTGTAACATCAATCTTTTCGCTTTCTGTTCCTCAATGTTCTATAAGCTTTGGAGGGAGAGTTGTGATATAGATGTCCCATTCGGGGCTGAGTAGTCCATATTCCCTTATTCGCTGCATGTTGATTATTTGTGGTTCTCTGTGTTAACCATTCACTGCCAAAAGCATTTTCTCTGATCTAGGGTGTGAACTGGATTAATCTATAGGTACAAGGATAAGTATTTAGAAGGAAGTTGATACTATATCAATTTAGAAAGATGATCATGGATAACTAACATTAAGGATGTTTGTGAAAGCAATATGGAAACCAGTTTGCTTGCTACCAGTAAGAGATGATTGTTCCTGGTTTTGGTTCTTAGAATATAAGTGAAAGGAAAAAAGTCCTTGATGAGTTTAGATTCTACACTGGGAGCTCCCTGTCACCTTTACCCTCTACTGGAGAAATCTTGGAGGAAGCAGTCAGTGTTCCTAGATCAGTAGGCTCAGTGTGGTCATCTGTCCTCTCCATGCCCCCAGGGGAAGGGGTCACATTAGGAAAAACAAGGCAAGACAAAACCAAACAACACCCGCCCCACCCAACCACCATCTATCTGCTCCTTCCTTCCTGCTTCTCACCACCCTCATTCACTGAGGTCTGGCAGGTTGATCCCTGGGGTCCAGATGGGAATATTGGACTGTCTGAAGTAGTCCATAATCCCTTATTTGCTGCATGTTGATTATTTGTGGTTCTCTGTGTTAACCATTCACTGCAAAAAGCATTTTTTCTGATCTGGAGTGTGAACTGGATTAATCTATAGGTACAGGTTCTTTTCGGGTTCTTGATAGTTAAACTGTAACTTCTAGGGTACATTTCTGTACATTTACAATTATTCACTCAATGGTTCTACTAAATGAATGTTTGCTAGATTTACTTATTATTTTTTTTAAAAAGTCCTAGAAACAAAATAGGAAGTATTTACAAAGTTCTTGATCATTTGCTGGCATATTTCCATATAGAATAAGAAACTGGTATTATTTCACATCTGTTCCTTCCTTTTGAAATGTGTGTATATGCACATATGTTCATATGTGAGGGTACATGTGAGTGCAAGTGTGTATGCAAATGTGTGTGGAGGGCAGAAGACAACCTTGGGTGTCATCTTCAGGAACGCCACTTAACTCCTTTGAGATAGGATCTCTCATTAGTCTAGAGCTCACCAGTTAGGCTAGACTGGTTGGCCAATGAACTACCAGGGTCCTTCTGTCTCTACTTCCCCAGCACTGGGATCACAAACCTGTGCCACCATGCCTGGCATTTTTCTGTTGGGTGTGGGTATTGAACTCCAGGTCCTCATGATTTCAAGGCAAACACTATTCCAACTGAGCCATATCTTCAGTCCTTTTTTCTTATTTTGTCGTGTTCAATGCCTTGTCCCTAGTTGGATCTCAAAATATCAAATTGAATATATGAGGACAGAGAACCAGTCATTAAGGAGGGCATTGAAGTGGGCAGGTGGGGAGGACCAGACTGGGGGTGGCTTAAGAAATCAAGGAAAATAAAGGTTTGGTGTACTGATGAGATGAAAGGAGCATGACCAGAGATGCCTGGCTTGGAGCAGGCCTCCACCTAAGGCACGTCCCATTTAGTGCAGCCAAAAGCTCATCAGAAGAAATGCTCCCAGTAGCTCCCTTCTCAGAGTCTGGAGGTAGACTTCTCTGACTTTATGAAAATATAGCCTGGCTCTACTGAGAATGTTTTAGTGCTTACAACAAGCTGCACACCCTCCCCCTGCCCCACTACTATTCCATTTTAGAGTAAGAAGATGGGAACTAGGAGTCCAGAAACTTACCTCAAGGCTTATAATTGGCCCCTCTCTGGTGATTGTCAAAGATGCAAGTTCTAAGGTGTAAAATGTCAGGTTTCCAGGCTTCCTCCTGGCCCAAAATAAGGAAACAATACTTATAAACCAATGAAGGTTTTTCTTATGTGGTTTTATAGGTCAGAGGTGTTATTTTCATTGTTTGAAATAAAAACATCTTCATTTTGTTTGACTCATTCTAAAATGTGACTGACAGGCCAAACATTTGAGAGTAGAGGAACACTGTACCAAAGTTAAACTTCAAGGATGGTATAGTTACTGGCCCCCAGTAGCTATAGCCACAGAACCTCCTGCTGCTTGAACTAGTCCTGAAGTTTCTTAAAAGCACCAGGGAGGATCAGCAATTTGCTTTGAGAATTAAGGCATTTTACTTTGGTTGTAGTAGTTAATGACCCAGAATAATTTGTCTGTATTTTCATCTTGATTAAGAGTATTTTTTAGGGGCTGGAGAGCTGGCTCAGTGGTTAAGAGGTTAAAATCACTGAATGCTCTTGCAGAGGACCTGGGTTCAATTCCCAGTACCCTCATGGCAGCTGACAACTGTCTATAACTCCAGTTCCAGGGGCTCCTATGCCCTCTTATGACCTCCTCGGGCATTGCACAGCATGGATATACACATGCAGGCAATACACTCATACACATAAAATAAAGATAAAAGTATTTTATAATACTTGTCAGCAGTCCTGATGGGGTCAGTACATGGACTGTGTGTAGTGTGGTGTGTGTTTTGTTTGAGATCTTAGTTATTAAAATATACTTAGAAACTTGAATTGAAATTCTATGATGTGCTTTTTAACAATGAAGTAATACCACTATTTGGCTTATTTTCATGCCAAAGTTTTAAAAAGCAAGTAATTATATTTAACCATATACAACCTGATTTTGTGACTCATTATTACTCATGAGAGCTGAAGTCTGTGGCTTTCAATTTTGAGTTAGTTCATTACAAAATATTCAGCCAGAAAGCATTTCTTGGCGCTTTCTTGGCCCTAGAGTATCAAGAGTGTTAGCATAGTTAGTAGTAAAGAATTTCCACTGTGATATTTCAAAGTTGAACAATATACTACTTAGGTGAGTCAGGAAATAAATCTAGTGACAATTAGTGTGATGAATAGTCTTCATCACCAACTTGACAGGATTTAGAATCACTATGGAAACATACCTTAGGGTTTTTCTATGGGGATGTTTCCAGGAAGGTTTAACTGGCAGGAGAAACCGACTCTGAATGTAGATCGCATCATCCCAAGTTCTAGGATGAATAAAAAGATAAAAGGGAAAAAGTGAGCTGAGCACCTGAACTGACAGGATGAGGGTGGCAGGCCGCCTCAGTCTTGCTGCCATGTCTCCCTTGCCATGATGGACCTATCCTCTCAAACCATGAGCCCAAAGGAACCAATGCTTCCTTCCTTCAGTTGTTTTTTTAGATATTTTGTCAGAGCAAGGAGAAAAGTTACCAGTGCAACCAGTAATACCTTGATAGTGGCTGATTTGATCAATTTTTTAAAATGCAGATGTCCTTGCTATAATTTTAAAAGCTCTCATTGAGTGTATCTATATTAGGGAAAGTGGGCAGTTTAATGGCTGTAACCTGGTCGGGTCTTTATTCAGAATTTGGGTTGAGATGAACATATGGGTGGGTCCTATAAATGATTTCATGGTACGTTAACAGTGTATTCATCTTTTGGAAGTCCACTCTTGGCCCTTCTACTCCAACAGTGTTGCCAACCACAGCTGCAGGGTAATTTAGAACAATGTGAAAATTGCCCGATTTACTCATTCCAAGCAAAAGGGTAAACACTAAATTAGTTTTCATGTCACAAACCAGCTGAGTTGAGTAAGTCAGCTTCACACACTTGTCTCTGGCCCTTTTTATTAAAGTCTTTCTTCTTAATTCAATCTTTTTGATTTATTTATTTTTATTTTTATTTTTTGTTTTTTGTTTTTGGTCTTTTTGAGGCAGGGTCTCCCTGTAGCCCCAGCTGGCCTGGAACTCACTATGTAGACCAGGCTGGCCTCAAACTCACAGAGATCCACCTGCCTCTGCCTCCTGAGTGTGCCACCACACCTAGCCTTGATTTAAATTTTTTAAAAAGAAAAGAGAAAAAAATTGCAAGTTTTTTCATCCTTTTGAATAGCTAAGAAAGATTATTGAATTAGAAATTCCTAAAATGAGGCCCTAGAAGGGACTCAGGCTACCAAAGATTCTTTTATGTAAATTGGAGAAAGAAAGAGAGACAGAGATCCATGGGATTCTGAATGAAAGCACACCATGTGGTGGGGATTAGGGTGGGGGTGGGGGTGAGGGAGGAGGAGGAGGCCTGGCTTTAGTGGAGTTGCCCTAGAGAGTCAATACATTTCTATCATATTGCTTTCCAGAAACAAGGGAGGCAGTGTCTCAAGACCCAGTTGATACTAGGAGCTGGGTGCAAGATTCCTGGGGCTATAGATTGCATCTTACACAATATTGGATTCTACTTGCTCCTCTCGCCTGCCTCATTCTTCACATTCTTCAGGATAGTTTCTTTTGGTTCCATTAAGCACTCATCTCATCTTACCTCCACTGTCCCATTAAGGCCTGTGTTATTAGTGTTGTAGGAAAGACAGATTTCCTCCTGTCTCCACTACTGTTGGCTTCATCAATGGTCCTTCTTTGTCTGCTCCTGAAGGATCTGCCCTCAGACCCCTTTACATCCTGACCTGGATGCGATAGCTCTGCTTGGATGCACTTCAGCAAAATGAGGTGGAAAAATAGAGCTTATTGTGCACCCTGCAAAAGAACAGCCCTGCCCTCCCCTTTCGGTCATTGCCCACAGTCTCCTCTCCCATCCTTGGGATCCAATGACAAGGTTATATCCTGCATATTTTGGAATTCATTTTTCTCTTCTTTTTCTGCTACAGATGGATTCGTTATCCCCTCTTCTGACTTTAGCTAACTTCTGTCTAACTTAGAGACAGTTCCTCTGATTCTTCTCCACACTTGTTGCAAAACTGAAAAGAGTTAGGATCACAGTTTTTGTTAGATTACAAGCACTTAAAAAACTTTACATCATTGATTCTCTCTGTTCGTGGCAACATTCTTATTGTCAGAAATCTTTAACCATTTAATTAATTAATTAATTAATTAATGTTTGTTGGTCCCATGGATTCTTTTGGATTCTGATGAAGTCCATAGAACACCTTTCAGAATGTTAAATATGAGCCATAGAGTGTTACAAAGGAAACCAGCTATACTTGAATAAGCTATGAAGATCTTAAGAGTTTTTTAATATAGTAACTCATGAGCTTCATAAAACAATACAGAGTAATGAAATTCAGCAGTGGGTCTAAAATTTGCCATAATTTTAAACTATTGGTGATAATAAAAGATGTTTTTGATATCTATAACAATTGCAATATAGCAAAAAAATTATTTTTGGGGACAGATTTTGCTAATGCTACTGTGGTTTGGTATTTGAAAGATGTGTTGAATTTCAGTCAGATTTAGTGCAATCAAGTAATTGTACTTTATTGCAAAGGGGAAAGATGTGATTTCTCCCCTTCCAAGTTCATGGACCCTATCAGTATGATCCATGGACTGGCCCTATCTATCTCTAATGCCCATGTGACCTTTTCCTCAAATTTCCAGTTATTATGGCCTTGTGACACTACTGCCTCCTTATTTTTCCATCCTACTTTGCTGGTCCTTGCTTCTCCCTGACCTGATTCTACCCTTACCTGTGTCACACACACATTCACATTGACCCGTTCAGACAAAATAACTCCATTCTACAGTCCTGCTCATGCTGTTGGCCAGTATTTGTGCAGTTCGAGCCATTCTTCATCACCTTCAGGATCCTTCCTTTCTCTTTTGTTACTAAACTCCATATAAGACTCTGTCTTCTCAAATTCAGTACCTGAATAATGAACTATATTTGTAAAGCATTTTTATGTTATGTAAAATTTTCATTTAAGATGTTTTATTTGGTCTTAAGAGGGAAAAAGGTAGATATTATTCCATTCGTCTCCATTCATCCGTCTACCCACCCATCCAACCACCTATCTTTTCATCCAGTATTTACAGATGGTTAGCCAAGGATATGAAATGGTAACAATTAAAATTCATTGAGCCTTTCTCATGTACCAGCTGTTCTTCTATGTATTTTAGGTTCATTCACTGAATCCTCAGAACATCCTTTTAAGATAAAGACTATTACTGAAGGGCATAGGAGACATCCCTGTGTCCTATAATATAATATTATAATGTAATATTCCTTGAACTAACAGATGCATCTAAATGTAGTCAGGCTGTGATTTGAACCCAGGCAGTCTGGCTCCAGAACCCATGGTCTTAAATTACTGGGTTTTATTTTGGGGATAATATAGAAATAACATGCACAAAACCCCATATATATATAAGCTATTCCTTTGCTCGCATGGTATTCTAACTTCTCATGGCCAAAATTTATCATTAAAATATACCAACCCCAAATGCCGTTTTAAAAAATATTTTATTTATTACTTTTATTTTATGTGTATGAGTGTGTTGCCTGCATGTATGTAAGTGCATCTGCGTCATGCAATGCCTGCAGAGGTCAGAAGAGGTCATTGGATACCCTGGAACTGGAGTTGTTAGCCACCATGTGGGTACTGGGAACCAAACCAGGGTCCTCTGCAAGAGCAACCAGTGCTCTTAGTGGCTGAGCCATCTCTCCATCCCCCCAAATGCTGTTTTGTGTTTGATCAGCAAAAATTCCCTTGCTGGTGAAAAAAACCTTCAAGCTTGCTAGTCCTATCTCCCTGGTTGGCTATGAGTCATTGCATGATTCTGACTGACAGCTGCACTACCCACTCCTGTGACCAACCAACTGCCAATGAGCTCAGCTTATAGAAAGAAAGCATAGCCTTGGAACAGGTTGAAAACTCCTGTTTAAAATAGATTGCAGAGAATGATAGTTTTAAAAATAACAATAGTAACAACAAGCAAAAACACCCAGCACCATTAGCAGATGTTTTTAGCTACATACAACCTACAATTTTTTTGTTGTTAAGCTTTTTCTGGCTTGAAGATGTGACCTCAGCTTTCATCCTCAGTTGTTCATTGGCACTGGGGAGTAGAGCATCAATTTATTAGGTACCAGTTGAAGATTTCGTATGGAGTTTCATTTTCCTTGTGCCTTGTACAGCCAAATAGCTTTAAGTGTGTCTAAGAAAGAGACCAGTGGAAAATCCAAGGATAAAAAGAAATGAAATATAATTATGTACTGAAGACATCTGGCAGCTGTGGTTCTAGGTGTTGAACTGCATCTCCTAAGCTATACCTTTCCTCCACTTTTCACGTTTGAACATCAGTAACTGGGAAGGTTACTTAAGGATATTAAATGCTATGAGGTTTTGTAGTCATAGGGGGAAATAGAGGTAAAATGGGAAACTCTAAAGTCTTAATATTTAGGGCAGCATTTAAAAAAAGAATGTGGTAATTGGGTCAGCTTGCATATGCATGCTTGGGTCATATATATTGGAAGACAGGAAATGTTTTTTGTGTGTGATGTTCCAGTACCATCTTCTATGAGGATAGTGTGATGGAGAAGGGGAACTGAGCCTGAGAAAGGCAGAAAGAGCTGACCAAGAGGCCATGGGACCCAATGGTACAGTGAGATGAGCAGACCCTTCTGGATTCAAGTACACATGACCTTTGCCCTCTGGTCAAACTGATGACAAGAAGGTAGCCTTTGCCAAGAGAAAAGACTGTGAGGGAAAGTGTTCAATGATGTGGCAGAGTGGCCTCTGACTTTAAAAATAGTAGCACAGGGACTGGAGAAATGGCTCAGTGGTTAAGAACACTGCCTGCTCTTGCAGAGGACCTGGGTTTGATTCCCAGCACCCACATAGCAGCTACAAACTGTCCTTAACTCCAGTTCCAGGGGAATCCGAAGCC